TGGGTGCTTTCTACCCTATCCGGGGTACCGCCTTCAGTTCCAACACCGGCCTTCAGTCCCAGTCCGGGCCAGAATGACTATCATTCGCGACCTGGTGAAGGCGCAGGCATTGAATCAGGAACCTTGCTGGCCAAGGGAGCTATAGTGCCTGTGAACCCCCTGCAGAATCCAGGGGGCTTTTATTCAAAGTATTTCCTTATCCTGAAGAAAACCAGGGGTCTACGTCCAGTCTTGGATCTCAGGGGCCTCAATGCATACATGAAGGTTATACCTTTTCACATGCTAACCACCAAGGAGGTGTTGCAGGCAATTTATCCAGGTGACTGGTTCACATCCATCGACCCCGTGGATGCTTATTTTCATGTCCCAATGCTCCATGTCATTGGCGGTTTCTTCGTTTTGCTTTCCAAGGGAAGCATTTTCAGTTCAGGGTCTTGCCATTCAGCCTTTCCCTGTCCCCAGGGTGTTCACCCAGTGTGTGGCAGCAGCCCTGTCCCCCTGCAGGCTCAGGGGATAAGGATTTTTCCATATCTGGACGATTGGCTCATTTGTGCAGCCTCTCGCAGCCAGGCTGTCAGAGACACTCAGAGGGTGCTAGAGCATGCAGAGCGCCTGGGTCTACAGGTGAACACACAAAAGAGCAGTTTGGTTCCAGCACAGGAAACAAATTTCCTAGGCATTACCCTGAGTTCCATCACAATGACCGCATGCCCGTCGCTCCATCGAGTCGACAGCATTCTGGACACACTTCAGAAATTCAGGCAGGGCAAAGCGCAGCCTTTCATGCTGTATCTTCGCCTGTTAGGCATGCTCACAGCTGCATCCAGCATGGTGCCCCTAGGGCTGCTATCGTTACGCCCCCTTCAGAGGTGGCTAAACAGCTTGGGCCTGGACCCCCCTAGGCAAACACACAGGCTGAGGAGACTTCGGGTCACACCTCAGTGTCTTCGATCCCTGTCCCAGTGGAGAAACAGGTCGTTCATAACGACGGGGCTTCCGCTGGGCTCCCTCCCGTGTCGATGGGAGGTAGTGTATACTGACGCATCCTCCACAGGGTGGGGGTGCGACCTGGCAGGACCGGACGATACAGGGGGTGTGGTCCCAGCAACAGACCAGGGAGCATATCAATGTCCTGGAGTTGCAAACCGTATTTCTGGCCCTTCAAGGCTTTCTAATGGGCCTGCAAGGCAAACGTACTGGTGAGATCAGACAACACCTCTGTTGTTTTTCATATAAATCACCAGGGGGGGACCAGGTCAAATAAACTGTAGTGGCTGACCCAGCAACTGCTGACCTGGGCAGCTCCACACTTTGCCAGCCTCGGGGCAGCCTACATTCCAGGACCACAGAATGTGACGGCAGATTTTCTGTCACGTCAAAGGCCGTTGCTGGGGGAATGGAAGTTTCACCCAGAGGTGGTGAACCACATCTGGAGTGTCTTTGGCAGGGCAGAGGTGGACCTCTTTGCCTCCAGGGAAGCAGTTCACTGCCCACTTTGGTTCTCCCTAGCGGAAGAAACTAGCCCTTTGGGGTGCGATGCGCTGGTGCACAGCTGGCCCCAGACACTTCTTTATGCCTTTCCCCCAATCAGTCTAATTTTTCCAACCCTTCTGAGGGTCCTTCAGGAGGGCCACAAGGTTCTCTTGGTGGCCCCCTTTTGGCCAGCAAGGACTTGGTTTCCTCTGCTGTACAGGCTTTGCTCCAGCTGGCCGATGCGCCTCCCCTCCAGGAGGGATTTACTTTCCCAGCTGGGGGGGGCTGGATTCTCCATCCCGAACTGGATTGGCTCCAGCTATGGGTTTGGCCCCTACAAGGCCCGGTTCCACTTTCTCAAAGTATGCTGGGGGAGTAGGAGAAACTATGACTAATGCACGCATACCGTCCACCCGTGCTGTCTACGCTAACAGGTGGGCGATCTTTGCAAACTGGTGTCACAAGAAAGGGCAGGACCCGGTACAGTGTTCAATCTCTGACATACTGACCTCCCTGCAAGGATTACTGGATCGGGRACGGTCTCCATCCACCTTGAAAGTATATGTGGCTGCTATTTCCTGTTGGCATGTGGGGCTGAATGGCTGTTCAGTGGGCCGGACAAGGACATTGTTCAATTTTTAAAAGGTGCCCACCAAGCCGGCCTGTGGCACGGGCTTGGGACCTTTTGTTGGTGCTTGAGGCTCTCCAGTCACCCCCGTTTGAGCCCCTAACGTCGGTAGACCTCAAATGGTTCTCATTAAAGACGGCCTTCCTTTTGGCCATGGCCTCTGCAAAATGTGTGAGTGAATTGTAGGCTCTATAGCCGAGCCATGCTGTCGGAGGAACTTGAATGGTTCAGGTGTGACACTATGGCCTGATGTTTCTTTTATCCCTAAGGTGGCAGTGGCGGCAGGCAGAACACAGCCGCTTCAGCTTGACCGTTTTAACACTGAGACCCCCACGGAGCCTCTGTGCCCTGTTCGTGCTCTGGAGGCGTATGTGAAATTCCCAGCACCTTTCTGAAAGACAAATAATCTTTTTATCTGTTATGCAGGCCCTCTGAAAGGGCAAGCCCTTTCTAAGCAGCAACTCTCGCACTGGGTTGTGGGGCTAATCACTAAGGCTTACGCCTCAATTGGTCAATCACTTCCAATGGCTGTGAAGTGTCATTCCACAAGGGGCCTGATGACCTCGTGGGCCGCCAAGACTGGAGTGCCGCTGGACATCATATGCAGTGCGGCCTCCTGGACATCCCCGAGCACCTTTGCTCGGTTCCACAGAGTGAATGTGGCGGTGCCCCATCACCTGCAAAGTGTTCTGCAGAAGCTTCCTCCTACATCCCAGTTAGGTAAGTGGTGTAATGGGTTTTGTATATTCCTCGTGACTTTGTTGACAGAAGTCATCCAGTGCTTGAAGCCCCACCTCTGGCGGTCAGTAGGGATGAAATAGAACAAAAGTTGCAACTGTAACTACGGTTCTATGAATCCCGGATGACCGCCAGAGTGCTCGGTCCCTCAGAATCCTTGTAACGCGAGAAAGTTGAGGGATTGAGCGCCATATGTCATGTGACTTTATAGAGTCACGTGGGTCACCGGCAGGTCACAGGTGACTTTGTTGGTATTAATTCTCGACCTGCACATGCGCAAGAATGATCATTCAGTGCTTGAAGCACCGCCTCTGGCAGTCATCCGGGATTCATACAACCGTAGTTACAGTTGTAGCTTTCGTTTTGTGTTTACAGTTTAGAGAAATGGATGGGCTTTCATGGATTTCAGCAACTGAGAAAAGCTGTAACATTGAGGCACTGAAGCTGCTGTTTATTGTTGCTCATTCAGTGCTAAGTATTAACATATATAGGTCCTGTCCTAATGGCTCGACTCAGTCCTCCACGGGGATGTAGACCCGGCTCTGGACTCTGATGATTCCACGGTTTCCATTTCATGGCAGGCTAAAAAGCTCTAATGAGTATGTAGGGGTTTCTCTGCTCCAACTCACCTGATTCAAAAGTCTGACAATCTGCGGTGGAGAGGAGAGGTTGGCGTTGAAGGCCCACAGCGTGGTGTTTGAAGCTTGTGGAGGGGAGGAGACACCGGCGTCGAGAGGCCCGTGGCGTGGTGGTGGAGCTTGCGGTGGAAAGGAGGGGACTGGAGGGGAGCAGCTAGCCAGAGAGCCATCAGCGGACAGTGGATAATTTAGGCGAGCTGATGGTGGAGGAGAGCGGCTAGCTGGTAAGAAAACCCAGGGACTGGAATTATTAACATCCAGACCAGGAGAAACTGTCGCTAGGCTCTTTTGTGTGGGCCATGCCGAGACGTGCCGGGCAGGGACGGGGATTGGACCCTTTGGAAAACAGCGTGGACAGTATGGAGGAAATTAAAAGATTACTGAACTTTATGAGCGCTGAGATCTCAAAGCTGGCATCACAGCAACAACTTTTGAACGGTCTAGTTGAGGAAGTTAAACTACTGAAGGTTGCAATAACTGACAGACAAAAAATAGCCGAACTTGGGGAAAAGGTAGATGATCTGGAACAACACACGAAGAGATGACTTGGTAATTACTTGGCCTATCGACAAAATTTAAAAACTGATGTAAAGTCTGAAAGTGTAAAGTTTGAAGTTTTGACCCAATTTAAAACAGAATCTCAGAGAAGGGATATACAGTATTTCTGGCTGTAGTGATTAAAATCAATAACATGAAATTGTACAAAATTTTAGAGTTTGATTTAATTTCGATGTTTCCCTTTAAGGTATGTCAAATGTAAAATCCTTCAAGCAAAATAAACCTTCAGTGTAAACAGTGAACACTAAGCTATTTTACAGCAAATCGCTTCTTACTCCAGGATTAGTTGCTTGTTTTTTGTTTTTGTTTTTTGGTCACATGCTAACTAAGACATGTAGCGTGAGGAGATTGAGCAAATCAGGGTTTGTGTTTAAATTTGCACATAAAAATCTGAACTTTGAGATGTTAAGAGACAGTTTGAGACATGGGGAGCACTGCTGTGTTGCACCTCATCCTCTAGAAATGCTTTTTGTTTGTGCCATTTTTTGTAGTTCCTCTGCAGCTGACAACAGTTTTTCTTATGCTGTGTCAATAAGCTGCTGTTTTACGTAAGAGAACATTGTCCTGCTTGAATGACTTTATTAATGTGCAGATTTAACGAGAAACAATTCTGAGTTTGGAAGAAACCCATAAACAAACAAACAAACACAAACAAACAAACACAAACAAACAAACGTGAATTATTTTAGCCAATTTGAGTTAAAGAAATCAAATTTATTAATAATGCTTTAACCTTTTCATATTAAAACTCTCAAAAAAGCATTTGAAAATTTTAGAAAATATTTATCACTTCTTTAGTTTAAAAAAAGGTGTCTTCATGTCACTTGTCTGTGGTGACTTTTTAAATTGGTGTTTTCTTTCTTTGTACAAAATAAATGTTGCAACAAAGTCCTGGCAAAGTGCAGAGGTTGAATAAGGTTATTTACACAGCTGAGTTACAGTAAATCAGGGTGGAGGGGTGAGTTCTCTTTGTGGGCTTGGTTTTTATGTGTTGACGGGAAACCAACTTGGGAGAAGTAGAGTTATCCTTTTTAAATGTGCACAAATAAAGCTGTGTTTGGGTTTAAAGAACAGTCTGAGCTGAATCTGCTCTGAGGAAACATGGGGAGAGCTGCTGGGGTGCACCTCACCTGCTTTGGCCTGCTGCTGGTTTTGGCTGCTTCACAACTAAACAAGGTATAGACTCACATGAAACTGAACGTTTATCTTTGTCCTGAAATAGATTTCATCTAAATGTTTTTACAGATTATTTCATTTAATTTTATTTTTGTCTTTTGAAACGTGAACTTTGTATCAGATAAACAAACAAAACATTGCAAAAAAGCAGGTTTGAGAAAGTTTTTAACCCCGAGGTTGTTTCTGGTTATTTTCAATCTGTGTGTGTGTTATACTTTACCCTCTATTTTTTTTTTTCAGGACAAATGGGACATTTACAGCTTTCACATCAACTCCACTGTGACCTGCCGTTATGCCACCACCGTCATCACAAGCCGTGTGGCCAATCGTATGAACGAGTCCAAAGAAATCAAATTTCATGTTCAGATTCCCAAAAATGCCTTCATCAGTAAATTCAGAATGTATGTGAAGGAACAGAATGTGTAAAAAAAATCTTACAAACTAATAATTGACATATTGTTTATAATTGTACAAAATAAACCAATATACTGTTAATATACTGTATTAGTGATAATTTGTGTTTATTGTCTGCAGGTTTATAGATGGTCAGGTTTATGATGGAGTTGTGAAAATGAAGGAGCAGGCTCAGCAGCAGTACACTGAGGCTGTGGCTCGTGGTGAAAGTGCAGGAATAGTGAGGTAATGAAATCTCAAGTTGATAAAACAATTTATTGCAAACCTTTATGCAGGTGCATTTTTTAATTTATAGTTTGCACCACTTTTTCACAATGTCAACTTTCCGATTTTTCTCTAAAATTATCAAGATGAGTCTTTCTTAGATATCACCATGACGTGCATCCATTTTGCATCTTTTCACAGTAATAACTGTTTCTTCTGCAGCTCTGTAGGGAGGACCATGGAGGAATTYAAAACTTCTGTAACTGTGGCRGCTCACAAAAAGATCACCTTTGAGCTCACGTACGAGGAACTTCTGAAACGCACTCGTGGCAAATATGAGCTGCTGATCCACGCTCGACCCATGCAGCCTGTCAAAGACTTCAAGGTWTGTTGATCYAACAGGAAAACAATGTTCAGTAACAGGAGCTTCCATAGTGAACACTTCTGACATTTATTTCATTTCACTCACTGTCAGGTTGACGTGTACATCTATGAAAAAGCTGGGATCAGTTTTGTTGATGTGAAAGGAGGACTGAGCACTAAAGCCCTGGCTAATGCCATCACCAAAACACATGAGGGAAACAAGGTACAACTTGGAATCATATATATAATTAAAAATAAATAGCTTTTTTTGTTTCATAAAAACAGAATCTTGAGGCTTATCTAATGATCTTGCTTGTCTTCTATGCCAATTAATCATTAAGTGTCAAAGTGTTTAAAGTGACATGCAGACCCTTCAAATATAAAACTACAAAGAAAAAATGTTTATTTTTCAGAAAATTTGCATAATACACATGATTTTACTCATTTCGACAGATAACTTGCATTTTTTTTTTGTTGTTGAACAGAAAAAGCGAAACAGGAAGWGACAACAAAAAGGAATTATTTAAAAGGAGAACTCCCTGGTCTTTAGTACTTTGAACTCTGACTCTCCTTCATCTCTCTCTGATAGAGACTAATCTAAAAAGCCATCAGATTTTTCTCTCCTGTCTCTGTTGTTGGCCATTGAAGCAACACTGCTTACATGCAGGCATTTCCCTTTGTCATCACTTCTTGTTATTGCACATTCAAATATCTTAACCACTGTTCATCTCTATTAATATTGAGAGATGTTATCATTCCAAAAATGCATTCGTATTTATTTAAAAAAAATATCACAGGCACTGTAAGACTTAAAGATGCCTATGAATTCTATTCAATAAATGCACTCTTCATGTGTGCTCATGTCACAAGTCCAATTAATTTGGCACTGGCAGCACAAAGGTTTAATGGTTAGACTGTTGCCTCACATCAAAAAGGTCCTGGGTCCAATTCCTGGTTTGGACCTATAGCTATAGGCCTGTCATGATAGTATGATAACAATTTTTTCTTGTTGATGAATTGTCTCAGAAATATTTGGGACAAACARTAATATTGTTTGGAGACCATTTACAACTGATATATCGATACCCCCCACCCCCGCTTACGTAAGTTTACAAAAACTACCAAGGTGCATTACGTACATAAAAAGTTATGAACTGACCTGGACATTGGGATAACAAAACACAAGAAGCAGGGTGACTGGACAAAGCACTACTACTGAGGCCAGATGAAATGATGGCACACAAATAACTAAGCACAGGGATCACAAATAAATCCAACCACAAAAAGACAAACAAGATACACCAARTAAGATCTAAACTGGAGGGGTGAACAAAACTGAAGAAACATACACAARGARTRATAAGGYAAACACAAATACCTCATGATACTGAAAAACATAACTAAAAAGGAAACAAAGTCTGAATCTAAAACACAAGGAAGCATTTGACAATACCCAAATCAGAAGCATTATGACATGTGGTTTGTATGTTCTCCTTGGGTTTTCTTCATGTACCAAAATATGCACATTAAGCTGCCTACAGAGTATTGTATTACATTAGGATTTTTTTTATTGTTAACATCCCTCAGTTTCAAGAACATAGATCATGTTTATATGGTTTGCAGGCCTGGGTGTATTTCTATCCAACTGTTGATCAGCAGAAAACTTGTGACAGCTGTGGAGAACAAGGTATGAATGGAGATCTGGTTATTGTTTATGACGTCAACAGAGATTCTGGACTGGGAGACATCAAGGTGAAACATTATTTAATTAGATGCAATCATATTTTCTTTATTATCATCAGTAATATTTCCATTTTAACTATCTCTTTCTTAGACWTCAGATGGATACTTTGTTCATCATTTTGCTCCATCTAGTCTTCCCCGAATACCAAAAAACATTGTTTTTATTATTGATCAAAGTGGCTCGATGAGTGGCAGAAAAATWRAACAGGTGAAGCTTTCAAACATTTTTATTAATAGTWTTTATTATCAAGTGCACAATGTATGAACACACCAGTTGTTGTATTTTAGTTTTTTTTAAGTAATTATGTTATTTTTTTAAACAGACGCGGGTTGCTTTGATCCATATTCTGAATGTCCTGTCTGAGGAGGACTTTTTTGGTGTTATTACATTTGATAGTGACATTTTCCACTGGAAACGGGAACTTGTTCAGGCCACCAGCGCAAATCTAAAGAGGGCCAAAGAATTTGCAAAGAACATTAGAGATAGAGGAGGTGATTTAATTCATTTATTTATTTTTATTTGGACTTTAAACATCTGGCAACAGGATGACACTAAGAATTTTTACTTTCTTTTTAGCAACAGACATTAATGCAGCAGTGTTGGAAGGAGCGCGTATGCTGAACGCACATCCCAGAGAAGGTTCAGCATCTATCCTGATCCTTCTCACAGATGGAGACCCAACTTCAGGTTGGAAAAGAATAAACAATATGAAGCAGATTTACTCACATTTAGTTTTACATTGTATGATTAATGATTTTGGGACTTACCTGTGATCACAAAATGTCTTTAAATCTTGTGTTTATGGCTGCACTAGTCGGACAGAGACACAAAAGTAAAATAGTATAGATAATATTTACTCTTAAAGCCACAAAAAATCTTTAAAGTTAATTTTTTTAACCAATTTGTTCTCATTTGGTCACAAACCTTGCAGAAATGGTCTCTCTATAAGGCAAATCCACTCAATGAGGTCATCAATGCTAAACTTCTCCAAAATGAGGCAACCAGGAGGCATCCTGATCAGATATCTAAACCAATTCAGTCAGTTYTTCTCACTGTGTTAACAGCTTGTCTTCAAGKATGACTTGTATGACTGAGCTCTTCTGCCTCCTCTATGTTAGACAGGTACAGGACATGTATGAGAGCAACGGACATGAGATGTGTTATATGRCAAATAGCTTCAAGGTGGGGCTRCATCAAGGAGCCACTTGTTGTTTGTGATGGACAGACTAACAGATGACATCAGGCAGTAATTCCCTTGAACTGTGGTTAAWACATTCCTTTAGCACAAGTTCTAAAAAAAGAAAATTGTTTATATATTTATTTATTTCCTTCCTTCTCTTTTTTTTTTTTGCATCTTGTTTTCGTCTTTGTCTATGTAGCGAGACGTGAATTTTTTTCCATCAAAAGAGAGACAAGTGGTTGTTTCTGCTAACTCCACCCTTTTCACCCTGTCAGTAACATCCCAAAGTTGGAACAATGGCTCTTCTCCCGTTATCTCATCTGATCCTTTCTCCTTGGGTCTCAGGACAAAGAGACCAGACATACTGGCGCCAGTTAAACTAGTTATCACCTATTTGAGGACAAGAAAACTCCCCCTCGTTGCTTCAACTACAGTACATCCATCGCACAAAAATGGCCAAACCACCCAAAGTTGTTACTAAATTAACCTCCGTGTCACAAATAATCCATGCTCACACCCAGAAGATAACCTTGCTTCTTCCTGATACAATGTGCTTAGAGAGACCGGCCGTTGATCTACGCTCTCGTACTCGATACGACTTCACCTTACCTTGTATCATTACAAATGTTACAAGATGTTTTGCTAACAAAAAATTCACTATTTGTTTCCGTCACATTGTTAAATGTAAAGACAACAAAAACATTCAGACCCCTAACACCTTTAGTCTGAATGATGAGGATTCAGAGGTAAAAATATCAATTTCCCCTGAAGTGGTAGAACTCAGTGTAGACCCTTAGAGTTCCCACCTTAAGATAAATCACAAGTTTATCTTAGTACTAATCTTACTTTAAGTTTTTATTTGTTAGTCACCCACAACAGAGTCCCATCCTTTAGTATGACATAACTTGATCATCTAGTTTTCCACAACAAATAGAACTCCCATCTTGTAGCACGATGAYAAGTTTATGTCATTTATGTTATCCATTTAATCATTGTAGGGGTATTAAAYGCTAGAATTCTGAAATGGATAATTTGAAATGGATAATTATTCCTCGAGGCACCACATTCTTAATTCGCTCAGATATTGACCCAGGAAAGAAATGAAAAACTGTAACTTTATAATAATCAGTCTCAGAATAAATTTACCCAAATTGATTTATGAGTTCTTGTCTTATCAGAACCAGAATATCTTCATCAAGACACAAAAATGAGATTAGCTTATGTTGGCACGTTCCCCACGGGCCATTTATTTACAGATTAAATGTATTTACAACTATGGCATGTAATGAATGAATAATGACATGTTTGAACCAGGTAAAAAGCTGAGAGAGTTTGTTATCACGAGTGAATGAACAAACAGACAGACGAAAACAAACAAACATGTAAACAAAAATAAACACTGAGAAGTGAGTTTGAGACCAGGAGTGAGGTGAGATAAGCTGCTTAGCTGTGGTTTTTAACTAGGGGCTCCTAGTTAAATTACGATCGAGAAAAACGTTTAGTTTACCAAATATCCTACAAAGATAAAAATCAAATTTATGTCTGAGCACCTTGTGTTTCACSAAAACAAGTGTTCACCTTTACCCTGTTGTTCTGCTGATGGCGGTACAAGGAGGAGGCGTCAGCTGACCAAAGGATCTCAGGTGATGTTCCCWAAGAACTGCTTCAGTGTASTGGCCGTTCAGACACTCGGGGTGTCTGTTCATCTGCTGTTCCTTCAGTCAGAAAGGGGTTCGCTCTCTGGTGATTCGGAGTCTGGTCTTTCAGGTGGCTGTAAGACTTAATTTGATCTTCACTTTTGTAGAAAAAAAAAACGGACTAAACGACGGATGAATTACCATTAGCTTATTTGACTCCTATGAATCAAAACTCAGAGATTGAGTCGAAGTGTGACGAACGAACTATTCGAACAATCAGCGGAGATGTTGAATGACCCCCCCCCCATCCTGGTCAGCAAAGGCGGGGGGCTGGCAGGCGGTCCCTGCTGAGCTGTGGAAGCTATTTCTGGCTTCAAAGGAAAACAACTGACTGACCTGAACTGCAACTCCAACAACAACTCTGCAAAACTGTCCTTGTCTGGTCTGCACTAACTTTTAAGACCTCTGTTATGGGCGGAGTCAAGGTTTTAGTTAGCCAATTGAAAAACTTTACCAAAGTTTTTAACAAATCAAATGTTTGGAAGGAGAAACTTTTTTGCTTCAAGACAAAGGAAGGGAGTGTTTTAGTCTAATTATCTTGCATATAATTAAAGGGAGAAGACATCTGCTTTACCTCAGTAAAATAAGAATGTCACATTTAGTTAAAAATTCAGAGTCTAAAATTTCTAAGGTTTAAATCATGTAATAACACAGTTTAAAAGAATCATCTTTTTTTCAGGAAAACATTTCATCAAAAAAAAAAAAAACCACACAGTTAGAACAATGTCTTTATTGGGCAAACAGTTTAAAAAAGAACACAGTAGCTTTGTTCTTATTTAATCAAGCATGTGGGTCCCTTTGTTCTCAGTCATGCTGAAGAGTCTGGCAAAAGCATTTTATCTTGGGTTCTTGGGTTAATCACCGTTCCACAGGGAAAAGTGTTAATCTGTTTTGTTTGATCATTTTGAGTTGCAGGACTTTGAGATGCCGGTGTAGCTGGTAACCCCCACCTGACCCTGTCAGCCAATCAGAAGCCGTGCCTCAGAAMAATAGATCAGTAATTCTAGCGCTTAGCAACACCACACAGACAGAGAGAAAGATGATTCTTTCCTACCATTTGATGACACTTAGGCAGATGCCCCTGGGTACCTGAGGAGGTAAAGAGCCGGTGTTGTGCGTATTTCAGTTCCCCTGTGAAAATCTGCTCCCCCTAGTGGTTAACCTTAGAGAGAATCACTGGTCAAGGCATAACGTCAGACCAATCCTATGAGGGAGGCGTTTCGGAGGCGCTTCCGATACAGGGGGAACTGATTTTCACAGGGGAACTGAATTTCGTACAACAACGGGTCTGACCACCGGTTGAGCTCACTCACAAAAGGTCCCGTGGGTACAGCTGAAAYTCGCCGGGGTGGCATCTGTGGATAGGTTGCTTTCACTTGAGGAAGGCGTCCCAGATCGTGACGGATTATATTCAGAAATTCTGACTCACTTAATTCTCCAAATAAACTATGTCTGTAAACTACAAAAATAAACTTAAAATTAAAAATAAAATAACAAATCCCCAAAGGGAGAAATGGAGCGTAACTTCTTCTGACCTACACCTCTCCGATGTTTTTTCTAGACTGACTACTAAGCTGATGGCGGCGAAAAGTCACCCTATTTCTTGAGTTGACTCAGATCAGGGTCCTGCTAGTTTGATTCCCATTATAAATACGTCCCCTCTTTTATAGAATAAATAATTGTTCTTTTGCTGTTGGCTAAGGAAAGCTTCCATTTATTTTGCTAGAATAGAAAATAGCTTAGCGTGTGAGTGGTTCAAAAGAATATGTGCAGAAATTTTGTTACAGAAGCTATTTTGTGGATGTTACGTCATCAATAGCCTGTTAAAATAACATGGTTTTAACTTTTGTTTTTTGCTTGTTTTTCCTCTTAATCAATTTAAATACACGTACGAGATTTCAAATTTTGATTGCTTCTTCTGCATGTTTTTATTGTGTCCCATGTCATACAATGAAAAGAACTCTGTGCTTTAATGTACAGTATGTGAGATTGGTCCTAAAGTCTAAAATTTTTGGTATTTGCTAGCGTTTAACCAGTTAATCAAATGCAGTGGTGCCCTTTTGGTAATAGATTTATGGATTAAAGAGAAATCTTTAATTCAAGTGCTAATATTTCCCTACATCTATGACTTCCTTCATGGTTTCAGTAGCTGTGACTAAATCAATAGAAAACCTGAGCTCATTTAGTCATTTTGTCTTTGCAGGAGTGATAAATTTTGAAGTTATTCAGTCAAATGTCAGACGAGCCATTGCAGGAAAGTTCCCACTCTACTGTCTTGGTTTTGGGTTTGATGTCAAGTTTGAGTTCCTTGAGAAAATGGCACTGGAGAACAATGGTGCGGCAAGACGGATTTATGAAGACTCTGATGCTGATTTACAGCTGAAGGTATCTCCCTACACCTTATTCTTGCTTTTTACTTATTGTTTTGTTACACCCCCCACCCTTCCTAAACACAAAACAATATTTTAACATGAAGAGTTTCCACCATTCATATTGCATCATTACTGTATGTTAACAGGGTTTCTATGAAGAAGTGGCCACTCCTCTATTGACAGACGTGATGATGATCTACATTGGTGGAACCAATTTGACCCAAACTAATTTCAGTCAGTACTATAATGGATCTGAGATTGTGGTGGCTGGTGAGATCATGAACAATGACATTGAAACCTTCAGTCCACAAGTTGTGGCCATTTCAGTAAGAATCAGTCATTTAAAACACAAAGTACAAGTCTAACTTTCTGAACCCTATCGAAACTCCTTAAATTCTGAGATTAAAATGTCCTTTGCATTATAGCAAAATAGTAGAAAAAAGACTTTTTCTAACACCAACATGCCTCTGGAGCCCTCTACTGAAACACTACCTCAAGGCCTCCTTCAGAGGGTCTGGGCCTACCTCACAGTAAAACAGCTTCTGGAGAAAGAGTAAGTGTGATCAAACTAATTTATCATCACCATTTTAGACTGATATTCAATGCAACCATTTCAGACAAAACAAGCTTATCTTTTGTTACTAAATTAAGCAGATAATTAATTTTCCCAAAATTCAATCCTGGTCATTTCTCTTTGGATGAGCAACATTTTCTTAAGGCCTAAAGCAGATTTAAACAAGTATGTTTGAGGCCAGTTTATTTAAACCTGCTGAAGTCATGAAGTCATTCCAGAATTTTAATATTAGCCTGCTTTGTTTTATTTTTTTTCAGAATCTAGTTTTGATTTGTGTTTAAAATCATTATAGCTAAGATTTAGCTACCCATCTGTTGAAACGCTGAAATATTTGAAGGTTGCTAATTATTGTCTTATTAGATCATAAGGTTGTCATCAGAAGATATTTCTCAGATGAAAAATTATTATACTAAGTATACTAAATCTAAATATACTTTAGCAAACTTGAAGCCGCACTAATTATCAGTATACTTAAAGAGTGCTATTTTGGAACAACTAATTTAATACTAAATATACTTTAGTTGTATTTAAGTTGTACTAAAGCACAATTTTAAGTGTATTAAGTATACTTTTAAATACTAAAATGGAACAACTTCAAATATACTTAGTACACTTTAAGTGTATAGACAAAGATATACACTTATTACACTTATTACACACTTTTATTTTAAAAGGAGGAAAGAGAATAACTCAATTATACAGAGATTTAATTATTTAATTGTTATTGTTTCGGTGATTTTATATATAAGCAAAACAGTTAATAAGCTCATAACCTCTGAGCAGACATAAATATGAGTCTTTCTTTGTTTGTTTGTTTGTTTGTTTGTTTGTTTCTTTCTTTCTTTCTTTCTTTCTTTCTTTCTTTCTTTCTTTCGTTTCATTCAAAAATAATTACTCACTATTACACAAAATATTGAAACCTTGAAATATTATTTTGAAATTATTTTTAAAAATAAGGTTAAACCAACATATATAAAATCAATTTGAAAATAGTACAACTTCAGAAAAGTACTGCATTTATATTTGAAATATGTTTTGGAAATATGCATTAAAAATATACACTTTCACAAATACATATAAAGTAAACTTTTTTACATTTCAAATATAATCCTAAAAAGTATGTTCTATTAATAGTATATTAAAATACATATTTATGTAAAATGCAGTCTATTTAAAATATAATTTGGTTTATATATTTTTGCCTGGGTTGGCCATGTGTGCAGCTTCAAATTTTAGTAAAGATTGAAGGTGGGTTTTATTTATTTATTTTTTGGAGCAAAGGATTTTTTTCTTTGTCAGCACCCTCTCAGTTTATAGTGATATAAAACTTGCTTCACTAAACACTGGTGCTCCAGCAGTTTCCAGTTTATAGCAGGATTGTAGCTATATTAGTGGTTCTTGGTTTGTTTTTGGTAATGAAAATTTAGGTTTTCTTCCAGACCTTGKTAAAGTAGTGACACATTTGAATACTTTAAACTGATTTAATGTCTCAAAGTGATCATCTAGTAATCTGATATCTCTAAAACCTTCCCCAACTTGTACAAATCTACACTTAATTCAATGAACTTTTCCTTTAGCTATGCATATTGGTCAGTACAAGAAGTGCTTTCAAAAAAACCCGTTTTACATTGGCAAAAATGGCAAAGATCAGCAACCAGCTGCAGTCAGTTATGATCACTAACAACAAGGCCGCTATACCAAGAGTCATGGAAAAAAATTGTTTTAAACACCTGATGTTGTTTGTCTCAGCTGTTATAGTTTCATAAGATGTTGTGATGCAGGATGCTGTTTTCTGGACCTGGAAAAGAAAAAGTGAGGAAAGAAATTTTGGAGCTTTCTTTGAAGTATAACTTTGTGACCCCACTCACATCCATGGTGGTCACCAAGCCTGAGGGGGAGAACACAGACGTCCTTCACAAACCAAAGGAGGGAGACTCAAAATGTATGATACAAAATCACAACATGGATCATTTAGTATAAGTGTGATTTGTATTGACAATATAATGACCTAATGACTATTAATATACAACTTTTCATTMACATTTTAGCAACMAGCATGCACTTACAACCAGGTATGTATTCTGTACAAATCTTTAACATAGAAAATGACCACATAAACAGTGTACTGTATTCAGCATCAGTCAAAGACAAACATTAATCTATAAGCAAACATGTTGTTTATTATATAAACAAAAAAACCAGAAACCATATAAATGTTTTATTTATTTATACAGTTTAAACAGAAATATAAATCAGGTAAATATAAACCACAAAACATTAATTATATAGCAGGTAGAGGTCAGCATTGTGCAATCAACTTTAGTATTGTTTCTACTGTTTTGTAAAATCACAACTGTATATTTATTTATTTATTTGTTTATTTTATAGGCAGTGCTTTTTATGCTGATCTTGATGATGATGATGTCCCTAGTGGGTATCTGTTTTCCTTTAACCATGTTATTACGACACAACAATCATTACATTTCTACAGCACTATAGGACAAACACTATTTATTTATTGTGTATTTATTTATTTATTTATTTTATAGGCACTGGGATTTTGGCTTTTCTTGTAGAGGATACTTTTGCTGCTGGTGGGTATCTTTTTTCCTTTAACCATGTTATTATGACATCAATCGTTACATTACAGCACTACAGCACAAAAACACAACAGAAGTTGACCCAGAAAAACTTTGCTTTGGCTTCATGTCCATTTTTGTTTGTAATTTTTTTTATCAAATAAATGAAATAAACAAGAAATTCATTAACTTGTACAGAAAGTTGCCCTATTTTAAAAGTATTTTTGACAACACCGAGTAATTTAACTCTTTATGTTTATAGCAGAAGATTGGTTACCCACAGGTAAGCATTTTTCACAAAGATCACTTCAACTTTTAATACTATTGCATGTTGACAAACTGAAAATGTTTAACAGACATTTAAAAGACATTATTTAATACATTATTATAACAAAATTGTTCAAACAATATACGCCCCGGGACATCAAATCTTTGTTTGATCAGAATATCTAAACACATATATAAATTGTTTTTTACAGCGTCCGCAGACATAATGTATCACGATTATGCAATATTGGAAACTTTCACTACATTAGGTAAAGTATAACACAAATAAAAATTATTTTTTATCAAAAAGTTGCAACATTATATAAATGTAGCAGCATGAAGTGACCCTTCTTCTCCTCTTGACCATGAGCCAGAC